GGCGAACGAAACCTAAGAAGACAATGTAAGCTGCTCTTGTCTGCTTTCATATAGTAAGTTTAGAGCCTCTGGGTCTGCGGAGGGACTTCGGTTCCCTCTGTATTTTGTACCGCATGTTCCATGGGGAGTGTTCTGAGGAATTGTTCGAGATGATACCAACGTCTCGTTTTTACCATCGCACCGCCCGTCACCGGAGTAGAGTTCGTCCATACTACCTGGAGCCACTGCGGTCATCCACAGTGCGTTTCCAGAGATCTTTTTTGCCACGTACCATCCGGTTATGGAATGAGCTCCCCTCCACGGTGTTTCCCGAGCGCTATGACATGTCCTTCTTCAAACGAGGCTTGTGGAGAGTATTAAGCGGTAAGCAGCGGCTTGGCTCTGCCCTTGGCATTGCTGAAGTCCATGGGCGACGGTAACCACTCACCATCAGGTGGGCCGTATACTCGTCTGCCTACAAAGGCAATAAAAAAAAAAGTAAATAAAATAATTAATTAGTTGCATCTTTCGATTCCATCTTGCATGAACTAGTCCATGCCATGTGTATGCAAATATTATGTGTTAAAACTGCTTTTACGGTTTAGTCTCATTTTTTTATTTTAGTAAACTTTCATTTTATTATTTCTGCAGTTCAAATATTTTACAGTTTTCTTGGTCAGGGCCGAGTAAAAGTTGTTTGAATGATGTCCACGGTTCGGGCACTTCTTTACAAATCTATAAAACACGACACGAAAAAGAGACGGCATATATAAATATCTACAAATACTTCTTTCTACCTCTAATTAACTGCATACATGTTTTTTTTTTCAATTTGTAATAAACGTTATTCGATCGAACGATGAAAAGATTCCATCAAGCACAGTGTTTGTTTCTTACTAAACTAGAAAATGTATCAATAGTATTCTCTGTGCGGGTTATAAAAATAATCAAAAACAGTTTGTAAATTAGAAAATGTATCAATAGTATTCTCTGTGCGGGTTATAAAAATAATCAAAAACAGTTTGTAAATTAGAAAATGTATCAATAGTATTCTCTGTGCGGGTTATAAAAATAATCAAAAACAGTTTGTAAACTAGAAAAGGTATCAATAGTATTCTCTGTGCGGGTTATAAAAATAATCAAAAACAGTTTGTAAATTAGAAAAGGTATCAATAGTATTCTCTGTGCGGGTTATAAAAATAATCAAAAACAGTTTGTAAATTAGAAAAGGTATCAATAGTATTCTCTGTGCGGGTTATAAAAATAATCAAAAACAGTTTGTAAATTAGAAAAGGTATCAATAGTATTCTCTGTGCGGGTTATAAAAATAATCAAAAACAGTTTGTAAATTAGAAAAGGTATCAATAGTATTCTCTGTGCGGGTTATAAAAATAATCAAAAACAGTTTGTAAATTAGAAAAGGTATCAATAGTATTCTCTGTGCGGGTTATAAAAATAATCAAAAACAGTTTGTAAATTAGAAAAGGTATCAATAGTATTCTCTGTGCGGGTTATAAAAATAATCAAAAACAGTTTGTAAATTAGAAAAGGTATCAATAGTATTCTCTGTGCGGGTTATAAAAATAATCAAAAACAGTTTGTAAATTAGAAAAGGTATCAATAGTATTCTCTGTGCGGGTTATAAAAATAATCAAAAACAGTTTGTAAATTAGAAAAGGTATCAATAGTATTCTCTGTGCGGGTTATAAAAATAATCAAAAACAGTTTGTAAATTAGAAAAGGTATCAATAGTATTCTCTGTGCGGGTTATAAAAATAATCAAAAACAGTTTGTAAATTAGAAAAGGTATCAATAGTATTCTCTGTGCGGGTTATAAAAATAATCAAAAACAGTTTGTAAATTAGAAAAGGTATCAATAGTATTCTCTGTGCGGGTTATAAAAATAATCAAAAACAGTTTGTAAACTAGAAAAGGTATCAATAGTATTCTCTGTGCGGGTTATAAAAATAATCAAAAACAGTTTGTAAATTAGAAAAGGTATCAATAGTATTCTCTGTGCGGGTTATAAAAATAATCAAAAACAGTTTGTAAATTAGAAAAGGTATCAATAGTATTCTCTGTGCGGGTTACAAAAATAATCAAAACAGTTTGTTTATCAGTAATTTATTGTATCCTAATAATTATTATTAATCTGTCAGTACATCGATTCATAGTTAGGGACTAGCTTAGTTTAGGAAAGCAAAGAAAATCTACCGTTGAAGGCTTCATACATTTCCAAAAATTGACGAGATTCTTCGGCGGAAGCACCTATTTGTATATTTTACATACTATGTTTTGACCTGAATTCAATTAGAAATATCTTATCATTAAAACTCGTCCATGAAGTCAGATAAATTACTTAATAAATAGAATAAGTTACTTAATTTGTATAGTCCTTAAATATTTTTTTTAATTATCAATCACAACATCAAATAATTTAACATCGACTTTTGCTTATCCTTAATGATTTACAACGGTGCGCTAAATCTTTTAATGGCTCACCGCGAAATTATACTTAAGTAAATCACATACTTCATGTGAGTAAATTTTCAATATCTATATTAAATATATCGATTTTAAGTTAATGGAATCCAAATTATTGAAAAGATGCCGGCAAAACAACAATTTTGTAGACTGGCTCTTTTGACTAAGGAAACGACGACATTTTTGTCAGAAATTAAAAAAAAACATTAATCATTTTTTTACACTTTGTTACACTCTAGAAGACCATAAAAATTGTTTAAAAACACACATTTTTTACACGAACTTCTGATTAGAGATACTAAATCATTTGTAGGTTTGTTTGTTTGTGTGTTGTTCGCATGCACATCATTCATAACTTTGAAAAGTTATCGTTGCTATTTCACTGAAGGTTTTTAGAATAATCTGGATCATACACACTCAACAGATACCGCTTGAGTCTAGTTTATTGTTCGAGGATTTAGGTTTAAAGTGTAAATAATAAGTGTAATAATAAATAAATATAAATAAATATAATATAATAAATAAATAAATAAAAATAAATAATAAATAAATAAAAGTGTAAATTAATAATATCTATATGGTAAACATTATGTTACCATTTCTGAATTCGTGATTTCCTTTCGTTCTTTTAGAATGCAAATAATTATTTGATTTTGATTTTGACAGAAATAAATAATTCATTTCGCACACTTCAAAATTATTCTTGTAATATTAATATGTATATATATATATCATGAATAATAAATAAAGAAGGTTCATTAATTATTAGCGTGACAATGACTTAACTTTTTGATTATTTATGGAATAAATTTTAATGAAACTCTGAACAGGACGGAAATCGAGAGAATCGATATAGCATAAGTTAGAAAATAATCAAATCTTGTTAAGTTAATAGAAACAAAATTATCGTAAAATTTACAATAGCATCAAATATAATAATTGTAAAAAATACAACAAGTACAAGTAAATCATTACGGACTGTACCCCTAAATGAATCATTAATTATGGTTTCTTTCATAATATTTAATCAGAAATTGGTTTAAATAGAGAAACAAATAAATTTTTGGAATCACTGTCGACATTTTTTACAACTGGATTATCAGTAGACTTACACATAAAATCGATACTGACTTACGTACGCGTCCAAGGCGTTTATTAAACTACACATTCATTGAAGGTCTATAAGCATCATTTAAGAGATAAAAAACGTAGGGTGCGATAAAAAAGGACTCGATCTACACAATTTACACACTAAACCTATTATTAGTATTCAAGAACTACGAAGAAAGATTATATTAACACAAAATTAACATCTATATGACGTTACTCTATGACTTAAGATTTGGCTTTGAATTTGTAAATCTACACTTATTGAAACAGATTATCGTTCGGCGCTTTTTGTGAGAAAAATTTATAATTAAAACTAGGACAGAGTGCCAGTTTCCGCCACTATACAAGAAAAAAAAAAAAACCATCATTTTTAGTATCAGACAGGCTACGTTTTTGACTAATTTCAGGATATAATTAGAAACTTACGTACGAAAGTCTGAGTTGTGGCAGTTAAGCAGACTCAAAATCTAATACAGATTTACAATTTCAAATCGAAAAACAAACACAAAATACTAATAAAATCACACACAGCCTACTAATAAAATCATCTACGTATAAATTATCAACATCGTTCGTCTTATCATACGAAAAGATTTGATAACGTATAGAAGTAATTTCATTACAAGGTAATAAATACTAGCTACAAGATACTAAGATTATACGAATAGATACAGAAGATAGACGGATGGAAATTCTGGGGCATTAGCATAATATTACAGTTTAATCTAAAACACTAATAATTTACTATACTTTAGGATAAATTCTAGAAAAAATATATGAAAGAAACGTAGCGGTTCGATACATCGCCATCTAAGAATGTTTTGGCATCAATTTTAGAACTATTTACAGATTCAAGTAATTAAATTTTGGAATTAGAACCTATTGCTACGAACTACAATTAGGAAGGATAGAGTAGGGTGATAGAAATATTCTTGTTAGTAATAGCAAATCTAGCTCCTCTACGCCTTTTGGGCTTCTACAAGCGAGGGAACATTTTTGGGAAACGTTCCTAATATTTTTCCATAGCTAGTTACATCCCTAAATTTAGCTATTGATAGAAAATTTATAGGTTCGCTTATACAAATGAAAATGATCTAAATATTAATAGGTACAATTCTACTGAGGCTTTGAGCAAGTGGGCGGTACTAATTTTAAATTTTCATTGTAGTCACAGCGCATTTATCTTAAAATAGTTACTTATTAAATCGTAATTATAATATCTTACGTCAAGTTATTTACAGTACACACGAGCTGCTTAAAAATTACTCAAACAATTAGTGCGGACACACCTATCAACAATAAAACGTGCATTAAGAATTGTCTTTAATTAATCATTACATTCATTACGCATTACAAATTGGCATGGTGGGTTACAAAAATATTTATATTCGTGAAGTCTTTGTGTCTTACACATTACATAGCAACGCTTACAGTAAACGATTGTCTTGTTCTAAATTAGTAACGTTTTGTAGGAGTCCGTTTGTTTTATCCTGTGCATCATCAGAATGTGTGCCTTCCTTAAGCATCTCCCATAGGTTATTTTTGTTTAATATTTCAAAAGTACCCTTGTTTTCTGGAGCTATATCTGCTTTAGGATTCTTTGCTAGGGTTTTCGATGTCTCCGATATCGGGGTTGGAGGTAATTTGTGTATTTCTTTGTTTATAGACTTTAAGGGCTTTGCTTGGTATTTCTCTTGTAAATTGTGTTTTTTGGTTTTGTTCCCCGCGTCTACTGGATGCGTTTCATTAGACGTTGTATTGTGTATGTTGGGTTTTTTGATCTGAGTAGCTGGTTTAGGTTTCTTTGTTCGATAATGCATGGATTGTATGTTGTTATTTGTTATTGCTGTTATAGTGTGAGGAATGATTGATGCGTTCAAATGTGATGAAGTGATTTTGTTCGTTTTTTTATGGGTATTATTATACGATTTCATTGCCGTTTTCGCATTAGTCACATTCAAATGTAAAATATGTTTTTCTTTTACTGTGCTGTTTGCTTGCGTAGATACTTTTTCAGTAATATTGTTTGTAATTCTAAACTTGTTGGCTGTCTTCGTAAAGTTCCTATGGTCAAGTGTTTTAATTTTTGTTACAGAATCATTAGTATAAAGTTTATGTATATTTTGGTTAATATTTGTTAATGTCTCGTTTTCTTTTGTTATTGGATGGTCCGTGGGTTTCGTGAAGAATTTTTCATGTTTATCACCGTACGTAGCTTTTAGAGTACCCTTTCTACGCGACAACGGTTTGTTTTTAGCATCATCCAATTTCGTGAATAGTTTCGGCTTTATGTCTTTTTGTACAATCAGCTCGCTGCTCACTTTCGCAATGATTGGTGCAATATCATTACTGATTTCCCGATCAGTAGACGTTTTAATGTACGTTAGAGTTGGTACAATTATTGGATCGTCAGTATTGTGTGCTTGACTTGTAAAATTATGAATTTTTGTAGTGTAATCTGTAGTTGGATTACTGGTCGTAAATGTTGAGTCTGTGGTACTGAATGTAGCTTCAGTAGTTGTTGTTGTTGTATCTGTAGCTCTCTCGGGGATCACAGTTGTGGTTTCAGGAATATCGATGGTTTCCGGCTCGAAATGCTTTTTAAATTCGTAATCTCTACTACAAATTCGCCCGCACTCGCAAATATTATCGATGTTGGAGTTCGTTTTTAAACTAGCCAATTCAGTTTTATCGAACCAAGTTATGAAGTCGTCGTCAGTTATTCCCCTCAATAGCAGACTTCCTGGACGAGCGTGGAAGAAGGTTTCGACTGCTAGATCGGGTCTTGTAGATGGATAGATTTTAGCAAATGCGGGCCGTAGACTGGTGATCACGAATTTGGATCTAGCTTCGTATGTGACGCACACAGGGCATGTGGAACTTATCTGTATATAGTACAAAAAGTGTGAACAAATATATACATTACATTATTATTGATAATAAAATTAATACGAATTTAATTAAAGAAGATATCTTTTTATTCGCTATAAGCTTTATTTAAAAATAGTCACACGTCGGAACCTTTATCTTTGTTTCATACGTGAACAAAATATTATAAAAAATATGACAGTAGTATTATATAGAGATCATGATTGGATAGCTCATGAATGTGTTTTATATCCAATATGTGGTATGTTAAATTTTTATGGGTATATAAATTTGAAATCGCAGAATAAGTCTTACTTACATTAGCGAAAACGAACCAAACAGATTCGCCTCTGGATCCATAGTGTAAATCCGCAAACGTTGCTCCATCCAATACAACCGGGTTTACTGTGTGCAGTTCGTAACCAGAGAATAAAGATGATTCAAGACGTATAATTCCGGATCTCTCTTTACCTTTCCACCTAAAAAATTAGGACAGTTTTATTAAAATTCCAAGGGCTTATGAATATACTAAATTATCTTCTAAGTCCAAAGGTCGCGATTACCATTTTTTATTAAGTATTTGAAAAGCTACCCCTCTCAACGTGCACGATAACAATATATACCAGAAAGTCGTAATGTGGGTAGAGCTCCACAAGGTGAGCCGACTGTCTCGTGACGATCGAAGCAATGCGAAGGATGGAGGTGAGTAACACAAGATAGGTCGTTGTGAGCTTTCGGCCAATGATGATGTTGAGGTTTTTACTAATCATGGTAAACGTCAGGGGCATCGAGAAAATACATCATATCATTCATAGGCTTATGATCTTACCGCCCACCTCTTGTTTAGTGACTATCGGAGATGACAAGAAAGGCTTAATTTGTAAAATGGGATCGAAATCTTGATTAAATCGGAATAGTCAACTTTAAAATAGGGTTAGTATGCATCATAATATGAAATAGAAGGAATCTGTTAACAGTTTTGAAATCATCAGTATCAATCGAATAAGAAACCTACTTGAAACAAGTCTTGATAATTAAAGTGGGCAGTTTTCCTTGAAGATCTTCGATGGTGCTTCTCTCAGGGCGTATCTCTTCAATGATTGCCGCTTGTATGTTGAGCAACGCGTTTTCAGGTTTGGGCGTGTACGTCGAATACGCTATGGTTCCCTAAAAATAATCACATACCAAATGTATTTTGATGGTTAATAAGGCTTGACGGTTAAGTTCAAACGTATGAAGCTTGCTGGTGGTAGGACCTCTAGTAAGTCCGCACGCCGTCCGTAGGTAGGTACCTCTACCCTGCCTATTTCTGCCGTGAAGCAGTAATGCATTTCGGTTTGAAAGCTGGAGCAGCCGTTGTAACTATATTGAGACTTTAGAACTTACATCTCAATGTGAGTGGCGCATTTACGTTGAAGATGTCTATGAGCTCCAGTAACCACTTAACACCAGGTAGGCTGTGAGCTCATCCACCTATATAAGCAATAAAAAAAAAGCTATCCATATTATTTTCAACAAGTCGGGTATTCATAGATACCAAAGTTGGCTCCAGTCTTATTTTCCAACAGTATCCCGTAACTTGCCTTTTGACATCAATCAAGTGGGACGTACTGTCTTGGGCCTCCGTAAAGGAATAAAAAACCTTAAAATTATCTTATTATCCTTTACCTGGACAGTTGCGCAACCAGCTCCTGTAGCGTAGACGAAGACCTTCGTAGGGAGACCTGGCAGCTGCAAAGGACGTGGCGGAGTGCGAGCTCGGAGCTCCAACGTGTCTGTCAGTTCCATACCGGCAGTCGCTAAAGACACTGTCAGAGCGCGATGTCTAGAAAAGCAAATGTGGCGAGTTATATACATGGTTTTGCTGTAAAAACCTTTTAGCAAATACACAGTAAAGTTTTTGAAGTGAAAACTTCTTTAGAATCGTTGTGATTTCAAACCGGATGCAACGGAAAAAACGACAGGTAAGAGACACAAATACAAAAATGTGTAGGATGAAGCCAGCAAAGAATGAGACAGAAATATACATACTATTTAATACAGCGCCATCTGTGAGATTTTTTAATACTAACGTGTGTATGAAAGCTCTTGTAGTGAATTTTAATTTAGGATTATACGTGAAATTAAAATATCAATTCACAGAGGGTGCTACCTTACAATTATTTACTAATGACAAAATTTTACATATACTTAAGACGTTTAGGATAATTTTATTTTAATTTTGGAAGGTTTCACTTCTACCACGTGTGACTGGACACATTTTTTTTTTTTTTGTTTGAGTTTAATGTTCATGCGAATGCCGTAGTATTTGAACTGCTTCGTCTTCTGTTAATAATAACAAAATAAATGACTGGGAAAAAATCACGCGTGGTCATTTGGTCCCAAATTAGGATTCCCTGTATTATGGGTGACAATCTATGGGTAAAAAAGGGTGACAATCACGAAAGACATCTCATCACCGGCAAAGTGGAAGGAAAGAGGCCTAAGGGGCGTAGTCATATGCGCTGGTCCGATCAGATTAAGACAACTTTGGAATCCAGCATCAATGTCGCTATCCACTGCGCGGAGGGCAGAAGTGAATGGAGGAACATAGTCCTAACAAAGGTGCTCCGTAAAAGTCACGACCTTCAGAACTGAGGAATACGACTCACGGAGTTTTTATGGATACCAGAGACTGACAAATATTAAGTATGTAAGTTTACATGTAAATGTAGGTATATCGATAATAAACACCCAGATAGAGAGCAAACAAAACTGTTCTTCACACGAAACTTTGTCCGATGTGGGAATCAACCCCACGACCTTCAGCGCAACTATTCAGTTAGATCTAGAGCTAGGTCAGTTATTAATGAAAGTAAAAACTTTTTTTAACTTAGTTTAAGTAAGCATCAATGGAGTTTACTTAAATCAAATTAGAAAAGTTCTATAATTTACCCAACATAGGTAAATTACGCTTAGACAGTGAATCGAGATAAACATTGAACAAATCTTTCTTTTAAAATTTATAATCTATAATCTAATAAAGTCTTTAAGGCGTTTATAAATTTTCAAGTCATTTAGTGGTCTTCAAATTGTTGAAAAATAGGCTGAAATATTTCGATAAATGGTCAAATCGACAATGAATATCAGTATTATAGAAAAAATCAAAATATCTCCGTGAAACTCAACCTCACAGGGATTCAAAATTATTTACGACACAAACACCAGCCAACCTAAACGGCTCCCTGGTATCCGTAGTGATTGTTGTTGGTTTTAGAAATTATAAACATCTCAGAATGGTGGTAGGACCTCTTGTGAGTCCATGCGGGTAGGTACCACCACCCTGCCTATTTCTGCCGTGAAGCAGTAATGCGTTTTGGGTTTGAAGGGCGGAGCAGCCGTTGTAACTATACTGAGAACTTAGAACTGATATTTCAAGATGGATAGCGCATTTACGTCGTAGATGTCTATGGGCTCCAGTAATCACTTAACACCAGGTGGGCTGTGAGCTCTTCCTTCCATCTAAGCAATAAAAAATAACTAAAAAAATCTGTGCATTACCTGTCATGAGCCAAAGCAGCGTACTGAGCCGCAGCTTTCGTAGCGACATAAGCCAGACTCGGGTGTCGCTGTAGTGTGGAAGCGCGGTAGTAAAGGAATCTGGCAGCGGCTTCTCCTTCCGCCAGCGCTCCTCTCGCGCAAGCAGCAAGAAGCACCCGGACACCAGCCACGTATTGCTCCATTGTCACCGCCTCTGTAACCGGATGCCGTGAACAAATTTAACTTTACCATTATTTCGTAGATATTATAAAGCTGATTGGGTGAGACCCTGTTGTCATATCAAGTGATGCAACTACAGTTGCATCCAAGTTTGCGGTAGCTGAAAATGTATTCAAGTAAGTTTCTGATACATATCTATCTAATACGACTTCAAGATTCCGAAACCAATTAGTATGTAGTATTGTGTAGCTCTTTGTGAGCTAGATTCCAGTTTGTGTCAAGGGCCGTGTATAAAGGTTTGGTCAGTGTTAGCAACTCTCTAGTTTGAGCTCCGTGAGCTTACTTACAAATGTTAGGGTAAAGCTGAAATAGCCTTTCAAGGCTATCAGCATAGCTAGGAGAAAAAAAAGGTTTAAATAAAACAAATAATTTCATCCTTTTTTGTTACGCTAAAGCTATCACATGTACTACTAATAAGCTTTGAAGGGTATTCAAGCAGGATAGGAAGGATAGGAATTCAGGAAGGATAGTTAACACGTTCGCGTGAGCAACGTCTTACAACGTCGTGTTTTTAAAATTATAAAATGGTGCAATGTCATATGAAGGCCTCTAGATTATCATATTTATTTTGTCGGAACTTCTTTGGACGTCTATTTTATGGGAAAATTCCTATGGCGTATCTACTTAGCGCCGCAACACATTCGACTTTCACAGACTACACCACCGCGTTCCCTAAAAAAAATCATCATAAGATGTACGTATTACGGCGGGACGTTTTTAGACGCTGCTAAACTTTGTATGGGAAAAAGGTGCGCCACAGTAGCAATATTTAGAAATGAGTTTGCTCAGGCGAACTTGTTAAATTGTATTAAAAAGTCACGTACCATAAGAAGTGGTCTTAATATTTCTAGATGTTTCTTCCAACAGCCAGTCTGCGGCATCTTTTCTAGGAGCCGGCCAACCGAATTCGCCTTCTTCCGTTGTCGAAGCGTTCCTAAGTATCAGCAACGCGTCTGGAACCACGGGACTCCTTAAAGAAACATAAGTTTTTGTGTATATTTTTTTTAACAGTTTATTTAACGTAACACACAGACAATGTTATATATAAATACAAAGTTACCTTGCAAGTACCAACGCTAAAACGGTGGCCGCTAGTGCTGCTGGTGAAGTCAAGTTACGCAAATTCTTCTCTAAATATTTTTCAGCTTTTTGGGCAACGTTTGCGTCCCTCTGTAAAATATTACCATTACATTCATACGATCCAAAGATTTTTGTTTGATGTTATTGATGAGTATAGAAAAAAACTCTTTCGCTGTAGTATTTTCTTCCTAGGGATCTTGAAGATATACATAATTGTAAAATACGGTGTTTCTTGCTCGGTGTTTCCCGAGCTCTATGACATGTCCTTCTTCAAACAAGGCTTGTGGAGAGTACTTAACGGACAGGCAGCAATTTGGATCTGCCCCTGGCATTACTATAGTCCATGGGCGACAGTAACCACTCACCATCAGGTGGGCCTTATGCTCGTCTGCCTAAAAGGGCAATAAAAAAAATTAATTAAAATATTGGAATTCGTCATTAATATTGAGTTTTAAAATAGCTAGACTTGCGAATCAGATTTACCATTCGTTTGTTAGTTTAATATCAATACCTGATTTTCAACTCCAACTTCTAGCAGAGTAGCCAGCGTTTCAGCAGTCACTTCGACTCTTCTTTCCCATTCGATTTCGTCTTGAGTCATATTCCCATCTCTATCATAATAGTAATACTCATTAACATCAATTTCTTGTTCAGTTCCATTAACTTTTTTCATCTCAACCGGGTAATAGTCCACTTCCTTGTCAGCTACCATGGGCGTGAACGAACCGTCTGGATTTTGTCGATTCTGAATCCATTTCTTGATGTTTTGGAGAAGTTCGGGGTCCACCGGGTAGTATGATTGTATTTTGGTGAGTATCTCTAATATTTTTATTGTCGACAGATGACTACTCATTGCGGGATGGTCACTGAACGAATTGTCGCTTTTACGGAACGATAGTAGGACCTGGACCTGGAAATAATTTGTTTGATTGATTAATATTTTCCATTAACAGCGTATCGTTATAGAAGAATACCAGGGATCTCTGCCAACAACTTTGACGTTTGAGATCGAAATTTCAATTGATTTTATACTCTTGAAATAAGAACGCAGGGTAACTTTGGTCTAGAAATAGATATAGAGATAAACTCGACCCAGTTGCAACATGTCCTTCTTTGCTAATATACAAATTTTGCTCCTTTTTCGTGTAAATCGCAAAGGAACAGCATAGCTGCAAGAAAAATATTTTTTTTGAAAAATAGGTATTGAGATTTCGATTTACGGCTTAGATTATCTGTAGAATTTATTGACTACTGAGACTATATCTGTGCTATTCTAAACAGTTTATTTAAATTGCAATGAATTGGAGATTGGCTATTAAATCAGATTTTTTTATATATATATGGCTTTGAACAAATGAGTTACCGGTAAATTACCATTAGCAGGCTTTTTACAATATAATATCTGGTCGCCATTTTGAATTTTGTTTCAGCTTCAACAGTTTCATTAAAATTAGCTTTCGTCATCTACGCAAAAGGATTAAAAATAAAGGAACTAAAGAAACTAGTACTGACTTGTTCCGGCAACTTCTTCAATATCTTTTCTCTTTCGGAATCCTCGACTAAGTGAGGTATGTGCTCCAAAGCTAACAACGGTGCTAAACTAGCCGAGGCTGCGGAAAGTTGCGAATCTCTCCATACATCTGCCCATTGATCAGTGGAATCTGTCTGAAGACTGTACAGAGGCAGATGAAGACCTCCCGAGACTAGAAGAGTTCCGCTTGCTGAACCAGGAACTACGCCTCGAGGTAAGCCGAGCTCTAGAACTTGCGAGAAGCCGGCTTCTTCATTGAAGTTCCAAATTCTGTAAAGCGAGAAAACCATATTTTTATTCAGCTATATGAGTACTTGTCAAGCTCACGATTCATCTAGTTTAAAAGGGTACCGGAATCGGATGAACAAAAGTGAAAACCACTTTCAGATATGTTATTTTTTATTACTTGGACTTATGAACGGGCTCTTGACCTACCTGGGTTACGTGGTTAGCAGAGCCCAAACACATCAACCACTTATGTAAATGCTGCCACACACTTTAAAACATAAGTTATAAATCTCATTTCTATAGTACAACGGCTGCCCCACCCTTCATTTCGAAACGCATTACTGGTACCCGTGTGGACTCACAAAATGCCCAGCTGCCAATAAAGATACAATATCAATTGTAGTAGTTCGCAACAGGGATGTATAGACGTAATGTGGACATTACTATGTGGACATTAGATGCTATGGATAGCATCTTACCTCATACTGATTATTCGCGAACTCAATTTTTATTTATTTATTTATTTATTATTGTCCTTGTAGGCAGACGAGCATACGGCCCACTTGATGGTGAGTGGTTACCATCGCCCATGGACTTCAGCAATGCCAGGGGCAGAGCCAAGCCGCTGCCTACCGCTTAATACTCTCCACAAATAAAATATATCCTTAAATAAAATACAAAAAATTGTAATAAATACCTGAAATCCGCTTTGTCTCCCCACAGTGCACTGAAACCGACGTATTTGATCCTCATATCTGACGCCAATGGCCACACGAGAAGTCTTCTCTGCGAGGGTGATGCGCCGCGCCCCACCGATACACTCCCTCCTTCCCACCACACCCACCACGCGCACCAGCCCGAACTGCCACACTCTTCATCGCTTTCAGTTTGTTCTGCGCTCGCTAGGTGGACATCGTATCCTGAAAAGAAGGCAATTGATGGTTTTTGTTTCATAAAACGTGGCTTCGCAATATAAACATTGAGATCATTGTTCAATGAATTGGGTCCTTTGATTAGAATTAAATCACTTTATAAAAACTCAATTATAAGTACACATTTTAAATTAACTTTCGATCACCAGTCGAATGCGTTGTTGGATTGGTGAACGGGTGTTTATTGTAAAGTAAAGATGAGTACAGGCCAATACCAATATTACGTCTATTAGGTATAGGAGACTAAGATAACGGAAAGTTCACACATGTGTCTTGGGTTGTACGATATTCAATTACGCTGTTCTCTTCATTTCTTGTTTACAAATATTAAATATTGAACGCACCGTGTCGGCCTTTAGCTATCCACACACGACTTCTTTCGAACACAACTCGATACATGTCATCGGAAGGTTCTCTGATCGCCGATAGGGCAACATGGGCGGCACCCTGAGCTCTGAGTTCCAGTACGAGACCCGCTCTATTCCTCGGGGCAGCCACCCACTGCCACTCCCAGGACCCCCTCGATGAAACAGCCAGGTGCTCTGAAAATTTTTATAAATTCAATAAACCTCGGGACGTAGATAAACGGATCAACTATACCAGTTACTTGATGGAAATTGGTATCTACGTAGCTGCTGCTCATAAGACAACTCTTTTTATATCCCAGCGAAACGATATATCGCATCTACTAGGGAATGTTCATATGTAACTAACAATCAATGCTATTTAGCCTTACATCAAAATCCGTGGTCTCGCATACATGTCGTTGTGGATTTTTTCATTAAAATAGCTTTATAACTTTTTTTTCATTGCTTAGATGGGTGGACGAGCTACGTAACCGTAACGTACGTACAACGTAAATGCCGCAACCTACCTTGAGATATAAGTTCTAAGGTCTCAGTATAGTTACAACGGCTACTCCACCCTTCAAACTGAAACGCATTAGTGCTTCACGGCAGAAATAGGCGGGGTGGTGGTACCTACCCGTGCAGACTCACAAGAGGTCCTACCACCAGTAATTACGCAAATTATAATTTTGCCGGTTTGATTATTATTACACGACGTTATTCCTTCAACGTGAAAGTCAATCGTGAGCACTTGTTAAGTACGTATTTCATTAGAAAAATTGGTACCCGCCAGCGGGATTCGAACACCGTTGCATCGCTAGATACGAATGCACCGGACGTCTTATCCTTTAGGCCACGACGACTTTAAAACTGACTGTTCAATCGTAACGTTATTTTTCTTTGTCTACTTGAAATCCAAATGACGTTTAGAACTTGCCGTTAGCACAAAAGTAGGCACTCTGTGTATCGCTACGGTGAAGGCCCTCGGGAAGTACCAAAACACTGGCGGATCGGATCACGGAACCGACCAAAGTTTCATTGTTGAATGATGTATAGGACACGGAGCAGTTGTCGGCGCTGTAGCCCGTAACCTCAACTAGAAACAAAAGAAAAAAATACATTAATTGTCCGTAAAATCGGTTCACTAACGATAGCTTTACGTGATAATGTCAGAACTGTTCGAACGTCAGCTCTGACGTCACGCGAGAAGAGAGATAAATGTGTCACAAGCCAGCTTTTGGGCTGATCGTGCCTCTCTCTCGCTTGCACCCTCATGCTCAGGCGGAACGTGACACTTTTTCGTGCGCGCAGCCGGTTCATCGATTTATAAGATGTTATCACGTCAGCAATCATTAAACCAACTCGGATTAATTTGTATGAACCTCTATCGACAAATACAAGAAATCTGGCAAAAAAGCATAATAATATATTCAAATATTAAAGGAGGTCACGACGCAATTGAGGATTATCGACGCAAGGAGGGGAGAACGTTCAAATGTCAAATTCGAAATTTGGCTCATTTGCCTAAGAAACAAAAATATGAATTCGTTAAAAGATATCTCTGTATAGGCGTTTTTTGAATATTAAAAAAATCACTATCCTTGAATATAATATATATCAGTATCGATAAATATAGCGACATGATAATAGGATAGGATAGGATAGGATAGGATAGGATAGGATAGGATAGGATAGGACAAAGTTATTAAATTATTGTGTTTTTATGAATCCCTGACAAGCATGATAAACTTCAATTTAATACGTCCCTTCACTGTGGATGAAAATGACGTTCGAAGATTTCGTTACACACATACATTTAGGTGAAGCTAATAAATAAATAATAATAATAAAAATAATAAGGCTTCTTTATGCCATAAAAAATAATTAATAACAATAATTTCCTAAACAAGTAAATAAAAATAATAATTGACAACTTAATTAGAATTTAGATTAAAATTAGTGCCTTAAATTAAATCTAAATATTGATAAATTTACATTATTTTTGTACGGAGCCCCCCGGTTAAAGCCTCCTCTAAAGTACACCACTTTTTTCTATCATTGGCGGTGTTAAGCCAATCTTTACCAGCCATTGTTACAATTTTGTCTAAATAAATAAATAGAAGCATGTTAAAAATCTGTTCGTTCTCCGAACGTCTAAATATTCTCCGGGAGCATTGCGTTGCCATTAAATTGTTATTCGGCGATCTAGACTGAATCAATCTCCGAAATCCAAGTACCGTACCATCAAAAGTTTACGGTGAGACGTAAACCATATTAGATTTTATGTCATCGACCGCTCCGACCTATAAATGTTTCTTTAACACCAAGTCACGAACTCTCAATAATTATCCAATTTTCTTTTAACCCAAATATATAGCTGACATGTTTACGACCTGCAATTATTTGGTATGGAGAAAATTAGGAAAGATGCCGTTTTAAAAGGCTCATCAATTATTATCTTGTCTAAATTTTAAATATATAATATAATAAATTGTGGAGCTCAGTGCAAGCATTGATTTTTTGATTTTGTGTGATAAAGAGTGTATTTTTGGGTATATTGGAAAGTATTTACCTATATTTGAAATAGCAATAGCTATATCGTCATCTGTTTATGAACCGTTTTTTGTTTGGTCCGTAGCTATTTAAGAGTTTCGGTTGTAATCGGTTTGTTCGGTCCGAATCCGTTTCAGTGATTATGGTCGGATTTCTGAGCTATTACTTAAATTATCACCGATTCTCTATATTGAATAGCGTTGTCAAGGATAATTGATCCGATTTAAAGATCATTAAAGATATCAATGAAACAATAAAAAAGATTTCGTAATATGTATTTTAGTATTGTTTTCGGTGCAAAATAAAATATTTTTAATATAATAAAAAAACAAAAGATGGTTTTTATGTTCTTCACTTCTTGTGAGTCATTTAATCTTAATTGTTCCATCACTGCCGAGGGCTCGCGACCACATGTGACTTTCCTCCACAGTGTTCGATCATGGGTAGCATGGACCACATAGAATAGACAACTACCAACCGGTTTCTTAACCAGATTTATTGACCATGAGTCATCGACATGATAATTAAAACGACTTGTACGGTGTTTTAATAATTTCTATTTATAATTTCTGACGTTTGGAGTATCTTTCCAACGGTTTGTCCCAAAACTTGTTCCAAAGTTTGTCCCCGCTACATGCCAAATTGGCGGTAACCGCGATCTTCGGGTCTCTCGTTTGACTACCCGAAGCCCACCTAGGTTGAGCCGCCAATTCATAACAACTTGATACCCTGTTTGTAAAACTGATTATTGGGTATGTGTTCCCCATTCATTGTAACTTATGCAGAAAACTGAAACAGCGCTTAGCCAGAAATTAAAGAAATGAGTCAAGAAGTTCTAATTACTCTACGTAACATAAACAATTTCTTAATATACAGCGATACCTACTTTTTGAGTTGCCAAGGAAATTATGGTACCAATAGTATTAATGGCAAATCTGATTATTTTTCTAACAGATAATTATAACAATACAAATTCTATTATAATTAAATCAAATAAAAAATTAAAATACTCTATCGAAAGTATAAAAAAACAAACAAATCGATACGATCTAAATGTGCTTTGGACATTGTTGATTTTAAACAAAACTATTTCTATGTCCATTATCTGATTGATTAAACTTCAGTCAGATATTTTTTATTCTAACACTAATTCCATTTTTAACCATTCTACAGTCGTATTATATAAATGTATTAATATTCAGTTTGATTCTATTTTAAAACCATAATGGGCACATGACTTAACATACCTGTATCTAAGCGGCTATCGATGCTTTTAGACTCCATAATGTGATTTTTTTTATTTTTTTATTGCTTAGATGTGTGGACGAGCTCAAAGCCCACCTGGTGTTAAGTCGTTACTGGAGCCCATAGACATCTACAACGTAAATGCGCCACCCACCTTGAGATATAAGTTCTAAGATCTCAGTTTAGTTACAACGGCTGCTCCACCCTTCAAACCGAAACGCATTACTGCTTCACGGCAGAAATAGGCAGAGCGGTGGTACCCACCCGCGCGGACTCACAAGAGGTCCTACCACCAGTGCAAAATTGATTTGTGGCTAGTCTTAGTATTGGTAGACTTGGGCGGGCCGGGTCAGCCGTTATACCGTACGTTTGAGACATCGGCCTCATGTTTCAAGGTAGATGGCGACACGTAGTGTTATGTTTAGGATTTTTAGGAGTTATGGATAGGATATGTATAGGTTTCGATAATCATTTAACACCAGCGGAGCCGAGAGCTCGTTTACCTATACGGAAAGAAGATATTTAAGAAAAGAAATGGTTTAGCCCTTGTATGAATTACAAAGTAGAAACTATTTACACAAAAACAGATTTAACTTAGTAGAGTATCTTTGTGTAGCACTTTCTCTTCTGTGTTTAGGTGCAAGGGTTTTCTCATTTTTTGTTCATTATTTATGCCCTTTTTTAATGCTAAAGTAGTAGTGATTATTTCTTCTAAATGCCAATAATAATAAAACAAAAGAGACTGTATTTTATAGGATGAATCTAAATCTTGAAGTGTCAATGATTGTCGTCAAACTTCTAACTATCAAAGATCACACATTCAACGACTCCTAGCCCAGACTTTATATATCGAGGATTCTGAAAAAGCGTATAGAAAATTACAAACACAATCAGAAGACAGAGTAGGTATGTTTCACAAAACGATTGCCTTCGAATGAGTAATTTTTTTTTAATTGCTTATATGGGTGGACGGGCTCACCACCGCCCACCTGATGCTAAGTGGTTACTGGAGCCCATAGACATCCACAACGTAAATGCGCCACCCACCTTGAGATATAAGTTCACTTCACATGCGCCACCCTTCAAATCGAAACGCATTACTGCTTCACGGCAGAAATAGGCAGGGCGGTGGTACCTACCCGCGCGGACTCACAAGAGGTCCTACCACCAGTAATTACGCAAATTATAATTTTGCGGGTTTCAATTTTATTACACGATGTTATTCCTTCACCGTGGAAGTCAATCGTGAACATTTGATTACATATTTCATTAGAAAAATTGGTACCCGCCTGAGATTCGAACACCGGTGCATCGCTCAACACAAATGCACCGGTCGTCTTATCCGTTAGGCCAAGAAAACTTCATAATTCCAAACAAATATAAGAAAATACAAAAAACAACAAATACAGGAAGAGTTTAGTTAAGAGGAATAGTAGCGTTTTGGCAGCCATATGAGATATGGAAATGAAAGTAATCGAATTGATTGATTCTTCCTTAAACGTATTATAAAAAGTGAAAAAGTATTGCTAGAGTTTTATTTCTCTTGTAGCATGTGGCCCATGGATGGAGACTAGTTATTGTCGCTCATGGACGACAGGAATTTAAGAGCCACAAGCAAGCTACTGCATACCACCGAGAAATCTCCACAAACCTCGTTCTAAGAAAGACATTTCGTAGTGGGAGGAAAATTAATTCCAAAGCCAGACCGTACGTGACGACAAATATATCTGGAAATGCACTGTTAATGAGCACAGTGCTTCTTGATACTTTGTTGTAAATGATGGGATCTTCTCAAACATTGCTCAGACCATTCCTCATGGAATGTACAAAGCACACGAGACAGAAGTTCTTCTGTAGACCCAGAGGTTCCGAATAATCCGTGAGGATAACATTATCCATAATCCGAATGGCCTTCTTTTTTATGGGGTCAAGTGTCAATTTTGAGTAGCGGTCAAACTACACTGATATACTAACCATTAAAAAGTGTGTTTTCATGTGCACGATAAAGATATTTTTTGTAATCAGATGTTATTTTAAAATAGACTGTATCAATTTCATCAATAATCTATATTCTTATTTTACGCGGTACAGAAAATTAAATTATTAGATTGAAATAAAAGATTGATAATTTGAGAATTTTCCATGATAATTATCAAAACATCCGCAGTCTATTTTTTTTAATACCAATAATCATATTAAAATATTTTATAATCCATAGTGTACAGTAAAGCATTTGTATACCTAAACCTACATTTTACTTTCTGAAAACATTAATTTCGGAAATGTTCACCTTTAAATTATTATGCATCCGTATCATTTACAATGAATAATAGTAGTACATTACCTTTTTAAGCTACGCAAATTATCCCGCTGCCCCTAAGTCAGTCAAGAATGTTCTTAAACATGCCTTTTTATTATATTAAGTAAATTGGGTTTTTAATTCACGACAGTTTCTTTAATTAGTCTCAGCGTCTGTCCAATTAACATAATAATATCAACGCTGTTTGCTTATAGTTTATGGAAAATAATGTAATTTCGCTGTAAAACATAAATTTAAATTAATATTTTAGGAATATAAATGACTTTAATAACATACAATATGTCTGATTAAATATGTGTTAGCTGAAAACAATTCTCCAATAATACTGCAAAGGGTGGGTAGATTGACATGGATATTAACATTGGCTATGACCGCTTTAATTGTTTGTTAACAAATAACGGTTCGGTGTCCTTGCCCTGGTTTGGAGCAACCTGGAGATTGGGCGTCGGGCGAGAGTGCAGGGGAGTCGTTTAGTTGGCTTTTACCATTTTCGGTCGTGGTCATCACCTTTCATCTTCAGCCAATAAGTTCCACATATCCTCGAGAGAGGGAGCCACGTAAGAAATCCGTCCCCCACCAGAGAAAAAGGGGTTTTTTATTTATTTATTTTGATTACTTAGATGGGTGGACGAGCTCACAGCCCACCTGGTGTTATGTGGTTACCGGAGCCCATAGACATCTACAACGTAAATGCGCCACCCACCTTTAGATATAAGTTCTAAGATCCCAGTATAGTTACCACGGCTGCCCTACCCTTCAAACCGAAACGCATTACTGCTTCACGGCAGAAATAGGCAGGGTGGTGGTACCTACCCGCGTGGACTCACAAGAGGTCCTGCCACCAGTAGGTTGAAAGAAGAAAGAAAAATCCAATATAATGATTTACAGCAAAAATAAAATAATTATCTTCACAAAATAAAAATTGTGGTTCCGTCTTGTATGAACTGGTCGATGCTGAGCATATATAAGTTGAGGAATATTTTGGCACTTCACAGATATACTGTATTTGTTAGTGTACAGTATACTTATTATTTTGAATATGAAGGCTTTGGCAGCTGTACTATTGTTAGTTGTGGCAGTGAACGGTAAGTTTTTCTTCCCGCATAATTCCGCTGTTGTATACCAAAAGCAGTATTAATTGTCACTAAAATTGCACAATATCTGGTAAAAAGGAGATACAAGGAACGACAATAGACCAAGATACAAGGAATAATAATAACAGTTAGATCTATTACATAGATTCTGTACACATATTTATTTTTCAGGTGCGTGGAAAGGTGGATTGCGGAGTAAGTATTTTTTACCGTAAATATATCAAAAGATTTCTTTATCTCTAAAATAAAAAAAGACCTTTGTACTTACTACAATAACTGAGGGATTTAAAAAGAGTTTAATTACAGCTGATATATATGGAGTTGTATTGGAAAAAAGCTGTATTCAAAATGTTTGATTTATTAAAATTATTAAAACCAAGGGCCAAAAAGAAAATTAGTTTACAAACAAGAGGAATGCTAGTTTTTCCTTTGCGTGTTAGATATATATGGATGATACGATAGAGCCACCCAGTCTTAACTACTTATTGACCCAGGCAGAAAGCCTTAGTTAAATTTGCAAGAAACAACACCCACACCTACCTCTGAATATGGTAACATATTACATGACCAATGAACTAATAGTATAACAGAATTATATAACACTGCTCGATTTTTTACTTTATTAACAATGTGATTCTTGTACTGCAGCAACATGGGGTGTAGGCCTTGGTCTAGGAACGGATTTTTTCTATGAGATTCCAAGGTCACTGGAAGAGGTTAAGTCTCAGGGCTGGGTTTTGACCGACAAAGCTGACGGACTTCCTCTTCCTTCGCTCGCCTTGTATTGTTCTGAAGACCGCATCTTATGTGGATTTTTTGACGAAACCGAATATGTGGTGGGATTGCAGGTTTCTGTAAGTAATAGGCTACCTCAGAGCCAAATTCCTTACTACAATTTTAAATATTCCCTTATGTTCCAATTTTATAAATGAAAAGTGTATTTAAATATTAAATTTTTTGCCAAGCAACCTGTTTGAGCACAATTATCACGTATACATTACAGTAAAAACTAGATGATGACCGCCATCTTGCTGTGTCTTTAAAGCAGTTAGTTGCCCTCAATTAAGAAAAATAGTAATATTATTCGCCAATAGATCGGGCGGGTCGGGAAGAGTTGATTATTGAAAACAAGAATAAAACAACATTTTCTGAACATAAATTGTAGATAGATCGATTTATCGCCCCCGAAATTCCCTGTATACTAAATTTTATGAAAATCATTGGAGCCGTTTCCGAGTTTAAAGGTATAAGATTTAAAATACATAATTTAAGCACTCATGATCATTTACTTCTTTTATACGTTCTGTGTGCGTCTTACTTTATATAAACTAAAAAGAATGTTGAGTTATAATCCCGCATCATCGTTTTCTTTGTAGTGCGTATTTTTTAACAGTAAATCAACAGACAAACTCACATTGTTCCTTGGTCCTAAATTGCTCCTTTAAGCAATTGACATTAAAATCCGAACGCTTCCCAGTCGAAGGCGCTACGATAACTCCTACTCATGCTAGACCATAAGACTTCCCGTCATATCTATCATAATAAGATTGACAACGACCATATTTTTTTTGTTTTTGTTTTCTTTCTCAGTAACGTAGCAAATTCTTTATCCAGTTGCTTTATTTAATGGGAACATAAAAAATGGTTTATATACACATTTTTTCATTCATTGAAATATTGTTTACCAATGTATTTCGTTTTATTTGAAACAGTTACCCGTAGATGAGGTCACGGACATTATTTTTGATATGCCAACCCAAGGTTTTATAATATGGGAAACAGAAGTGGACGGGAAACTTAAAAAATTCTACAGTATCCAACAATACTTCATCAATGAAGGTATGTTATATGTTATATATGAATTTTCCCGAAATAAAGAGTTGTTTTGCATAGCTCTATGGTCCATAAACTAAATGTGATTTATAATTTTTGTTTACCATCATGATCATAGCAGTTATACCATGCGTACTTCTGGCCACTACTTTTACCATTTTAAAAAGTATCCCGTGATTTTATTGATGAAAATTTTCAATCAAATTCGTTAAGGTGCTTTCTGATTATATTATATTCTGATAGCAAGCATCTAAATATTAAGAATTTCAGAATTATAATATCATAATAATATACTAAGTTAAAATAAAGACGATGCCGATTAAGACGATAAGATGACAATTTTTTAACTTTTTTTTTCTCTTATGATTCAAAATCTATCAAATAATATATTATTATTGTAAATCTATGAAGTTCATAATATAAACAATAGTGTATTCGTAAAATAAATGCAATTTTGTTTTTATCGCAGATACTCTAAAACAAAGTGTTGAGGATCGTTTGAGTAAGTGGGATAGTTCCAAGACTCTTCAAGAAAAATCCATTTGGGTAACCGGCTTCAACGGTACCCTTCTTGAAATATCCACCGTTGCTGATGATATTGCTAACGGAGACGATTTCACTAAGCAAGCCTGTGTTCCTTGGATGGGTGCGTATTATAACCTTCTAAATAAAATATTTAGTCCGATTATCATAATTGCTGACACGTATCCTATTAGTACAATAGAAATGTCTTGTTTTCTGATCACTCTTTATACGTTGCTTATAAATTTAGACACACATGTGCATTTAGCTCATCAAAAGATTATTCGTTCAATTATATTTTATATAAAAACTATTAGAGAGAAGAAAGATGGTGGGACATCGTGAGACGCATCAAGTCTGCCCCTTCCAACACTACATGACGATCACGACCACTCTGTCAAGAATGACACGATTGAGAAGAACATACTATTAATTGAAGAGTCCTTACTATTTTTTTATCAGGGAATCATTTCTTACCCTACTATTTAAAGAAGTTGTTAAATATATTTTATGTATTTATTTATTTATGGATCAATAATATTCACTATTTGTCACTTCAGGGCGTCATTATTACTACAAAATGTCTGCGGAGACGGAGTGCAAAGCTGACACATTGTTACCATGGTTTCCGATTGTTGAATCCGGGGAATTGATCGCTACCGGTCTTATTAGCTTCCTGAAGCTTTCAAAAACTTACAAATGGTTTGAGAAGCCTTCGAAAGCAGCTGTTCAAGTTGGTGCTTTTATGTTGTTGTCTTATATATGATTCGGAAGACTTAAGCAAATTGCAATCGCAGCCTTGATACGAAATGTTATATTGACATCGTTATAATTGTTATAAACTTGTGCTTACTTCTCGTAACAGCAAAATAGTAGAAATCCAATCGAAATTAAGGAATGATTACATCGGTGGACGAGCTCACAGTCCACCTGGTTTTAAGTAGTTACTGGAGCCCATAGACATGTACAACGTAAATGCTGCCACCGACCTTGAAATATGGGTTCTAAGAGTCTCAGTATAGTTACGACGGGTGCCCCATCCTTCAAACCGAAACGCATTAAATAGGTAATACTGTTCTCTCATCGAGATCGATTCGATTCACCTCGACTAGGTTCACTAGACTGACTCAGTGGTTCAATGGCACCCCTGACTGTTGCGTCAAGGGACGTGTGATCTATTCCCACATAGGGCAAAGATTCGTGGTCATGAATGTCTTTGTCTGGGTGTTTATACATGTATTTGGTTATGTATATCAGGGGTGGCCAACTTGATTAGAACCAAGATCTACTGTCCACTGACGAAACACGCTGCGATCCACCAATGACCTTTCTTGAAATTTACTGAAACAATGTAGTTCAGTATACAAACAAGTAGCATATTTTCTTTTATTAAAAATATTAAAATAAACCTGAAATTATATAATAAAAGACAACTATTGTGTAGAAGAGAGAGTAAATAAGGTGACGTAATGGTCATTTACAAATGATACAAAATGAAGATGATGCGTGCAGCAATTGGTGATTACGTTGCGCTGTCTGTTCTATGTATTTATATTGTTTTGTGTTGCCACGACCGACTGAACTAATAGCCACGATTGACGGGTCGATCGCGATCTACCGGTTGGCCACCCCTGGTGTATATGATTTCCATAATACAGGGAACCCTAATTAGGGGTCGGGTGACCCTACGTGACATGTTTCCTTTTATTATTATAAGATTATTATTACTTGGAAAGCATTTCGGGTTTTATATCCTTATATTTTTGCAGTTCATTGTTCCTGATGGCCCTAAGTGCTTATACGATTTGGCTGAGGATTCTGCACTAACAACAATGCACATCTATTATGTCAATCAACCATGGTTGGTCAGTTGCCTGTGGCAGTGAAAGAGTTAGAGCGGCGTTATGATTTTACGAAAATATTAAATATCTCTGTTAACAAAATTTTCGTTTTCATTACCTAGCTTAGTGAATATTGGAATTAAATTTAGATCCTTAACCGTATTCCGATAAGCCCTATTTTAAATAATGGCCGTAATATTTTAGATACTTTTACTGGTGGTAGGGCGTCTTGTGAGTCCGCACGGATAGGCACCACCACCCTGCCCATTTCTGCCGTGAAGCAGTAATGCGTTTCGGCTTAAAGGATAGGGCTGCCTTTATACCTGTTAAAACTGAGACCTTAGATTTCTTGTCTTAAGGTGGGTTGTAGATACATTTACGTTGTAGATGTCTACGGGTTCGGATGACCATTTAACACCAGGTGGGCTGTGAGCTCGTCCACTCATCTAAGCTATAACAAAAATAAAGAAGTTACAGGCTATATTTTTTTATTGCTTTAAGTATTTCATTGAACTCACATCACAGATCAGAGCTTACAACAAAAAATTCATTTTTCACAACAATTGATTAATTTACCGCAAGAAAACCCAGGTTGGTTGTACCTGATAATACGCTTCAGAATACACTCTAACGTTATAAGATATAATTAAAAAAAAAACGTGTGGCACTCGGGAACTGCCGCGGTAAAGCAATTGCATATTTTTTTCGTTACGGAATTTCATGATTCGGTCGCCGCGCTCAAGGCCCGCGATAAAAGCTATGCAATAGCTTAAAAGTCACTTTTACATAATTTAGAATTAATATTTCGTTATAAACAACTAGATCGCATACAACAAGTTAACTTCAATATCAAAGGCTTTATATGACGTCATAATAATTTGCGATCTCCCGCACCACAGGAATCGGGACTCAATCTAAATGTTAATTGAAACCGGGAGATTGAATGAACTAGACAACGAGAAATGAGAATGCGTTGGATTAACAACACCATAGACAGCCATTAATTAGGATATTAATTTGACCGATGATTGGATTGTGGGTGTAAACCCAGGAGTGTAGGTACCACCACCCCGCCTGAAGCCTGCCGTGATGCAGTAATGCGTTTCGGTTTGAAGGGTGGGGCAGCCGTTGTAACTATACTGAGACCTTAGAACTTATCTCAAGGTGGGTGGCGCATTTACGTTATAGGTGTCTATGGGCTCCAGTAACCACTTAACACCAGGTGGGCTGCGAGCTCGTCCACTCATATAATCAATAAAAAAAAAAACGAAATCCTAACAAGGACAGCGTCATTTTTTTTAAGTTTTAGTTGACTAATCATTTCATAATTGACTAGAATTGTATTTGTTGTTATGGGTAGAAAAACGGGGCATGAAGGAGATTTACCTTCCATCACTGACCAGTCTAATACAACTTATTATATAAAATGAAATGCTGTTCTTTCGGTGTCATTGGTTGACCACTTTAAAAAGTCAGGAAGACTTACCTATAGCCTATGATATTTATTTATTTTTGCTTTCCAACAAAGGATATCCATGATAAGTATATTGTTAAAAGAGTAATAAATGGTGATTGGCGTTGCACTACCTCGATTGCAAGAAAACACAATGTTCACAGAAATATAACTGCGCTGTCATAAAGTAATTTAGGTATCGAGTATACATCAACAGGTCATAAATACAATAAAACCAAAATCTAAAACATAAATCAACTAGAATAAAATCGAACCTGGATAAAAATGAAAACACAAACTAAATTTACAATAATTTGACAAAGAAATTTGTCGCGTTATTTAGTAAAAAATTAATAACCAATCGGAATCTGTATTAATTATAGATAAGGTTTTTTAAAATTTAAATCTTCCAGACGATCGCTTCGTTGGTTTGGTGGTTAATGAACCTGACAACTGTAACGCGACTTCCGAATTCGCTTCCCGGTCGAAGTCAGTGTTTTCGTTAAAGATATTTGGTTTACGGGATCTGGGTATACTCTTGTTCTTGTCTGCTAAGTGTGTTTTGATATTCATCTAGAAGGCTGGTCTTGAATGTAGGTTAATTTAAAAAAAAGAAGTAACTAACCTGTAATGTTTTTTCTTCCGGGAGTGTTGACTGCGACTCTTACGACCAGCTGGGTTCCACCACGTGGACCTAACCTCAATCTCTCCGTAACATAAAGGGCTCCAGTGCTTGCGAACGCTGCCCCAGCACTTAACGCTAGTAAAGCAGTTACCTGTAAATTAAATTTATTAATGATTTTCGATACCGAAACGTCAGGTCGCTCACTTTGTCAGACCTTTTCCAAAAGCTCATGTTTCTGCTAGATATAGCTTTGGAATTTAACAAAAGTCCATAGAATCGAAATTTATTCACTATTATAAAAGTTCGTTGATACGTACATACTAGAAACAAGGTAGCGTTTATTTAACCAACGTATTTTGGTCCGAAGACAGTGATGTACATACAGTGACATCCAATTAATTCTCCTTGGCCTGCTACTACTAATACCGTATTAACGTGTAATGACCAGTAATGGTTGTAGGACATTATATCCGTTACTATTGAAACTATTCCAATATTTATATCGTATTTAGTGATCTGATTTTTTTTTGTCTTCTTTTCTGCCATTAGCCTCAAGGAATTATTCTAACTTCAACGTGATTGGTGAGCGATCTCTTGGGGCTAAGCCTGCACTAGTTTGTTGAAATATATCTTATTTTCCCTACCTATTTGCTGGTAGCCTAAGAGGCTATTCTAGTCACGCCCGGACGGATAGGTGAGCTCACGGGCTCAACCTGAGAGAATATGCTAAAACTAGCCCTAGCAAGAACAGTGCTTAGCGGAATCTACCACCGGATCGGAGGCGATCGGGCAGCTGCTAGCAAATCCCACTCCAACTGGCTGAGCCTTGGTCGCCCACCTGTCCTGGTGAAACTGGAAAGACCTCCGGGCCACCAGTAATACTTCAATCATAAAGAAAAAAAAACATTGCGTAAATAACAATTGGTTTTGTAGGTACAACGACCTCTTACCCTTCATAACCAAAATAGGGACAAACTAGTTGTTCGCAATACGCCAATACCAGTTTAATAAATATACGAATATGTAGCATCCGGATACGTCAAGTGAAGCGAAAGCGTGCCATCTAGTGAATGCGAGCCGTAACTACTCGTCAAACATCGGCCCACTTCGGGTGGTGTGCTTCGGCAGAGTCGAGGTGTCATCGCTCGAGTGGAATCGAAATACATTCGTTGCCTGACTCAGGAAGAGTGAAGACGTCTCGGAACTCACTTTGCGCGATTATCCACCATAAGCTCGCTACGTCAAGAAATAATCAAGAAAACGGCCCATTCTGCGATATATATAGTACTAGCGACCCGCCCTCGCTTCGCTTCGGAAACTGTAATTTATTATTGATTTTTCCACTATTTAATGGATGTCATTATACATATAAACCTTCCTCTTCAATCACTCTATCTATTAAAAAAAAAACCGCATCAAAATCCGTTGCGCAGTTTTAAAGATTTAAGCATACACAGGGACAGACAGATATAGGGACAGAGAAAGCGATTTTGTTTTATTCTATGTTGTGATATATAATAATTTAATATAATGAACGTCGCTTCTTCATTATCTTAGTCTGATATTTCGAATGAAATTTCTCTATTGAACACAGTAATTAATGAATCGAACTAAGATCTTTAAGTACATTTCGACAAAGCGAACTGCGTAGTATGAAACAAGTCGAGTGAAAGTGTTAGGTATCTATAATATTGATTCAGGCTTACCTCAACAGAGTAGGGTGAAGAGTTTCAATTAATGGGAAATATCTTGAAACTCGCAAACTTCTATTGAACTTAGTTTTTTTACTGTAATTCAGGAAAAAATAAAGTCACTTTTTTTCCTACCTAAGCTGATAAAACGACTTGTCGTTGCCGAGTGTTGTGGCATCGATGCTCGGCGACGACGAGTCCTGGAAGGCGATACTCGACTTCTGCGAGTGCACCATCTCGCAGAAGGAGGCGGCGGGGCGCGTGAGCGACGCACAATCCCGCCGCCGTCGAGCGGGGGCCAGGGAGGCGGATCTCGCCCAAGCCCTGGCCCTCTAAGTGTTTCGGGTCCCCTTCACATGTCGGTCTGGGGACCGGCGAGGGGGCCTAAGAAGACGACGTGCAAGCTGCTCTGCACGCGTTTTACGCAAGAGCATCCGGGTGATGGAAGGCCGGCTATCCTCGACCCACGCTGGTTCTGGTCCAGCGGGGTATTCCGTAGGATAGCTCACTCTAACCGGCGACATCTAGGCGGGCTTCGGATAGCCTGCCGACCGAGAGGGCTGGTGGTCGTGGCACCGACGACCGCCGGTCCGGCATCCCGAGGGGGAGGGTGATGGGAGAGATGTGCTCCGCACTAAACGCTTCAATATCCTCCGTTTGCCTCTTCATGAGTTCTGTCTCATGCGAGGTTTGGACGTTGGCTGTTGAGCGACAGGAGGTTTTAGTCAGTTCGACTCTGACATGCTCCGCCCTCCATCGCCAGTGGAGGGCGGAAGTCCGGCGATTTCCTCCTGACCAAAAAAAAAAAACCTAAGCTGATAGCCTTGACAGGCTATTTCAGCGTAACCTTAACTAGTAGGTGAGCTCACGGGGCTCAAACCGGAGTGATGCGAACACTGACCCTAGCAAGAGCAGTGCTTCGCAGAATCTACCACCGGATCAATAAACTCGTTTTTAGATTACGCAATAATATAACTAGTCAGGTCATAAGTATTGTCACACAGTAAAAACTTTTCTTTTAGAATGCTGGCCACAAAAAAGTTTATTGAATTCGAATTTCGAATTGTTCATGAAAATAAAAATGTATACTTTTAGAATTTTACTCATTTTTAAATATCGAGTGGACGCTTAAAGAAGACCGTGTTGCAGTTATTGCGTTGCATCGTTGCGGTTACGCGCCAATTCAAATTTTTAACATACTGAAAAATTTGAATATAACCAAAAGATTCGTTTATCGTACCATCAACCGATACAATGAAGACTAGTGTAGATGACAGGTCAAGAAGTGGTCGCCCTCGGTCTGTTAGGACTCCAGCAGTGATAAAAGCTGTGAAGGCGCGAATTCAAAGAAATCCCAAACGTAAGCAGAAACTGTTGGCCCTTCAGATGGGGTTAAGCAGAACCACGGTGAAAAGGGTGTTAAATGAAGACTTAGGGCTTCGAGCATATCGAAGAAAAACAGGACATCGTTTGAATGCTCGTCTAATGGACCTGAGACTGAAGAGATGCCGCGCTTTGTTGAAGCGGTACGCGGGAAAAAAATATCGGGAAATTCTTTTTTCGGATGAAAAAATTTTTACCGTAGAAGAGAGCTACAACAAACAAAATGATAAGGTGTACGCACACAGTAGTGAAGAAGCGAGCAACCGTATTCCGCGTGTCCAACGAGGTCATTTTCCATCCTCGCTCATGGTATGGTTGGGAGTTTCTTATTGGGGCTTAACAGAGGTACATTTTTGTGAGAAAGGTGTAAAAACGAATGCAGTTGTGTATCAAAATACAGTCCTGACGAACCTTGTGGAACCTGTTTCTCATACCATGTTCAATAACAGGCACTGGGTATTCCAACAAGATTCGGCGCCAGCTCATAGAGCGAAGAGCACACAAGACTGGCTGGCGGCGCGTGAAATCGACTTCATCCGGCACGAAGACTGGCCCTCCTCCAGTCTAGATTTGAATCCGTTAGATTACAAGATATGGCAACACTTGGAGGAAAAGGCGTGCTCAAAGCCTCATCCCAATTTGGAGCTACTCAAGACATCCTTGATTAAGGCAGCCGCCGATATTGACATGGACCTCGTTCGTGCTGCGATAGACGACTGGCCGCGCAGATTGTAGGCCTGTATTCAAAATCACGGAGGTCATTTTGAATAAACTTTAGTGTCATAAGAATCTATGTTTTGTTAAGTTCGTTTTGGTATATGAATGGTTACATAATGAATAAACTTGTTTCAATTATTTTACATTAAACATGTGACAGAATTTATGACCTGACTAGGTAATAGCTTAAAGTATATGTGCTCATATCACAACAATATCGCACACCATACATTGTTCTGGACACGTTCACACTGTACTGTACTATATATTATTGACTAAGTATAGGCTGCTATACTATACGGCAGTATAGCATAGCGTAGTCTGAAAGCAGCTTAAATGTAAACAATAGTATACTTATTAGTCTTACAAATACTTTCATTCGATTTTTTTAAGCTACCCACAAAACGTCACATGTTTTTGTTACTAAAATAACTTTGGAGCGACTCCCACGCGATTTATTGTCGGCGGTCCCGTCATTTCCCGTGGCAATTTTAATACGCTTCTATTTGCTTGTTATGTGTGTATATTTGTTTGGATGTAACTGATTCTTTGACCGGCCTTTTCACATCAACTCGTCCGATTAACATGAAATTTTGGACACACATCAACGACTGGTTATAGCATAACCATTTTATAGCTTCGAGCTAACATCCACATGACCAGTATCAACATAATAAAAAAAAGAAGTTATTTTTTAGTTTAGCTTCTTTTTTTATTTTTTTTATTGCTTAGATGGATGGACGAGCTCACAGCTCACCTGGTGTTAAGTGGTTACTGGAGCCCATAGACATCTACAACGTAAATGCGCCACCCACCTCGAGATACAAGTTCTAAGGTCTCAGTATAGTTACAACGGCTGCCCCACCCTTCGAACCGAAACGCATTACTGCTTCACAGCGGAAATAGGCGGGGTGGTGGTACCTACCCGTGCGGACACTCCCAAGAGGTCCTACCACCAGTGATTACGCAAATTAGAATTTTGCGGGTTTGGTTTTTTTATTACACGATGTTATTCCTTCACCGTGGAAGTCAATCGTGAACATTTGTTGAGTACGTATTTCATTAGAAAAATTCTCATTCTCATTTAGATCTGTTTTTTTACCTAAGTACATTTATCATTCTTGTTTGATAGCGGAAGAGTTATTATAGAGTTTATTTGAAAGTGGCCGGTATTTCGTTAAAGACATTTTCAAGATGTTTGCACATATAAATGTTCCGAACATTTGGGCCGTCGGTCTACCGAGCAATATCGTCCGCTCAGTGGAAGATTTCCCCCTTTGTCATTACACCCAAATACGCTACAATAGAGACTTCTTATTCATTTTCGCGAGGTGAGCAACGGAATGCACGTTGTAATATT